CAGTTTGTCACAGCCCCTCGTTTGTTGTCCTCTTCTCCCTCTCTGCCTACGGTTTACCGGGCAGTTCTATTTGACGATATATATATATATATATATATATATATATATCCCTCTCTGCCTACGGTTTACCGGGCAGTTTACCGGGCAGTTATATTTGACGATATATATATATCATTAAACAGAGCTGCCCGGTAAACAGTAGGCAGAGGGAGAAGAGGACAAGAACGAGGGCCTGTGACAAGCTGTTTTGTCGGAGTTTCACCGACTCATCAGGAGGCTGAACCCTATATATATCGTCGAACAGAGCTGCCTGGTGAACTGTAGGCAGAGACGGAGAACTAGGGGCTGTGACACCCAAGGTCTCAATGGTCCAAGCAGACGACCTGGCAGCTCTCAGTGTGCACGTGCTCCCGAAAGTATACTGTGTGTGCGTCGAGGTTTGTCCTTTCGTACCGGCTCCCTCACGGCCAGAAACATGCTTTTATAGTATCTGGTCAAGGTCACTGGTCGGAGCAGCCAGCCAGCCAAGCCTCTGTCTCCCAGGCTGCTTTCAAGGCTTGCAGCCCGGGTACTGCCTCCTTTTTCTGGTCGTGGCTTGTTTTAACAACATGCCTTGTGAACATGGCTAGGTTGGAGGCTCCCACAGCGTCCCCACGCGGAGTTCCAATGACCTTGTGCTAGTACAGCGCCAAGTTCACTTTGGAGGGCCTTCAAGGACCTTCACGAGACCGTGCCACTTCCAGCCATCGGATTTCTAAATCGGGTGATTGGAAATGACCATGCCAGCCCCATTTCCCTTCTAGGCTTTTCAACCTATCTTCCCCAAGTTCGCCCGGTTGCACTAGGCAAATCTGACCTCAATGGAGAAGGATTAAGCTGTACGAAGAGCCAAAGGCTCTAGGCACGAAGGCCTTTCCCATCCTGTCTGCCGCAGAACTTTACAGCCGCCCGATCAAAAGATCAAACAGCTTTGATTTTTCCGCCCCACAAGATGTCTTTAGACCCTGTGGGCCTCTTCGCTCTTTGCCTCCCCAGCTCTCTAGGCCCTACCAGGTCGTAAATCTGGTCATTGTCATGGTCAGATCCGTCGTCGGGTAGGCCATTCTACACCACCTTTGAGTTCACTGAACGAAAGTTCTTGCCCCCCCAGTATGAGAGATCAGGTGGCTGGAAATCCAGGTCCTATCAGCCCCGAGAAGTTTCCAGGCCCTATTAGTCTACTGGACCCATCTGGTCCTTGTTTACGCCAGATTTGGCCAGAACTACTGGCCCACGAACCCAAGCCTTTCGGTGCTTTGGTAGCGCTTGCACATCATGCAATTCCAACGGCTACCGAGACCCAGGATCTTCTATATTTTGGCTCCACACAACACTACTGATCTCTAGATCAGGTGGCTATACTACCTCCACCCCCGTCCCTCGAGCTTTCTAGGCCATTGTGGCTGACCAACCCTTGTCCAAACGCTGTTCAGATTGAACCATACATGCAAGCGCACACCGTGTGGGCAATTCCGCACGTGCGGCGCACAAGCCGCACGGTTCCATTGCGGCACACTGCATGTGCGGCGCCCGGGGGAAATAGCCACCCAGGAAAAAAAGGGTGGCAGGCCTGGATCAGTGTTCTCACCTAAGGCCCCTTCAAAAATTTGGTGTAGGATGGAAAAGAAAAGAAAAAACAAGCTGGATGAGCAATTTCGCCACTTCACAGTCAGAAAAACTGTTGCCCCGAAGACCTATTTGAGACTATTTATGATGCCCAATGAGACACAAAGAAAGGTTTGTACTGCTGTACTTGAACAGGATCTGTTCCTTAGGTAGTACACTCTTCTGTATCTACGAAGACAGCAAAAAAATAAAAAGTAGAAACAGCGATTATTTCTGGTGCGGCACACGGGCAGGTTCCGGCACATGGGCAGGTTCCGCGCATCGTGCGGCGCACCACACCGTACGGCTGTACGGCTTGTGCGGTTGCAAGTATGAATATAACCCTTCTCCCTCCCGTCTTGGGGGGTTTGGAGCTAGCAACCTGACCCCCGTCCTTTGATGTGTCGCATGCAATGGGCCTTTGATCGCTGCCCCATTGCCTGTCCTGTCAGGTCTGCCCGGCCTCCTTCAAACCCTTGGGTGGGCTGGCCACCCTAATCCCGTTTGGCCCAAGCGAAACAGTGGTGCCCAGGTGCGGCCACCCGCGTACACAAACGGAAGCCCTTACAAGGGTGCTGTTCGGACAGTCATGCCGATTCCTTTCAATAACATCCCCGCCATTCTCACTTCGAAGTTAGATCTTTTTTTTTTTTGAGGATAGTGTGGGCAAGCATCTCAAACTGCTGCTCCAACCGAGTCCTTGGCAACTTTTCTTTTTCCAAAAGAAAAAAAGGGCGTCAGACGTCCTCTGTGCACGCACGGATTCGAACCGGCGCCCTTGGCCACAGGAGCCATGGCACTGTGTTCAAAAGTGGAACCATACCGACTGTGATATCAACCCCACCCCTGCATGGCTGTAGTGTCCTTTCTCACTCGCTCACACCACACACAACACCACTCAGGACTTACCTCCGCCCATACGCAGGCAATTGTCGCACACTTCGCTCTCATAAGCACATGACCCTGCCGCTGCTGCATAGCGTGGTCACACCTACGCAGCTCTTCCACGCGGGTTCCCAGGAGCCTCACCGTGGTATGGAACTGACCGGCCCCAGGTAATTTCGAACTATTTTATTCTGTTCATCTGATTACATCTGGATTCAAACTTGGGTCTTATTCACATTTCAACAGTTCATGGGTGTACCAACTGAGCTAGGCCCGTCATAGTCCCTGGCAACTTGAACCTTGCACGATACTGGTTGGATACTCAACGCATCTTCCCGACCAGAACTGATGGTAAGTGCAGATCTTACCATGTAACTGCGCTGTCCAGACCGGAAGCCAATTGCAGCCTCTGGCAACGTGTGAGGCTGGCCAGAGGCTCCATTTGGCTCCATTTGGCTTATATATAAGAACCAGTCTACTTATAAGCGTGAGGCTGGCCAGAGGCTCCGTTTGGCTCCGTTTGGGTCCGTTTGGCTCCAGTCTACTCTTAAGCGTGAGGCTGGCCAGAGTCTCTGTTTGGCTCCGTTTGGCTCCGTTTGGCTCCGTTTGGCTCCGTTTGGCTCCGTTTGGCTTGGGAGAACCTCTCTACTTGGACAGAGAAGATATAGTGACTGGCCCACCTCGCACAGAGAATCGCCCTCCTGGGTCGGATACTACGGCAGAGCCTCTGGCCAGCCTCACACGCACAAATAAATCCAACCCTGCAGAAGGCACAATATGCAACCTCTCGCTAGCCTCTCAGATGTCATCCGGCGATGTGTCGTTCTTCCCAGTGAATGCACAAAACAGAATGATTGACAAAAAAGTTATATCCTTTGGACGGGAGCGGAGCAGCTAGTGCCTCTTTGCCCTGCTACCAGGCGCCACCCTTAAGACCTGCCACCCAAGCACCCTCTTCGCCCTGCGACCCCTTGAGAGCATCCAGTGATTGGCAGTTACCAATTTGCGCGCCTCTTTTTTATACTGTTTGACGATATATATAGTCGGTGAAACTCCGACGAAACAGTTTGTCACAGCCCCTCGTTTGTTGTCCTCTTCTCCCTCTCTGCCTACAAGACCTCTGGACATAATCTTGCACTGACCGTCCACAGGTAATTTTGACTGACTATATTCCATCAATTTCCATGATTTTTTTTTTTTTTTTTTTTTTTTCCCTTTAATGGAACAATGGTCCAATCTATTCGTGGGGAGCAACATGTGCTGTGAACCGGGCCGAGCGTCCCATTTGAAACCATATTCGAGAACATATTCGGTATGTTTATCAACAGTTATTTGGGTTTGTGTACCCTGCAGCCACATGGGCTGGGTGATTCACTGTTGTTTCCCTGAAAAGGAAGGCTTGTTTTTCAACGTCCTGCTGTGCTGACTTCCCCTTAGACATAGACACATACACAGGGAAGAGAGAGAGTGAGCACCTTTATTTTGGGCAGGTCACACACACACACACACACGCACACACACACACACACACACACACGCACACACACACACACACACACACACACACACACACACACACA